GGGGGGGGGTTTCTACCCTCCCCTGATACCTAAGCAGCACAAAACTGACCAAAATGAATGGTCAAGACGAACCTACGGGACGAAGACTACACTAGCCTAGATACTTAGTTAGCAAGAAACTAGAATTGGGGATTGAAGACGAGGCAGGCGATCAAATGGCATGAAGAGGAAATATCGGTGAATGGCTAGTTTGGCAGCTGAAGCGTTTGCTCCGGAATCCAGTGCGCTTGACTGACGTTCGTTTGCCGTACTACAAACAACGGCTTTTCATGTTTGCACCAGTTCACATCACTTGTGAAGGGATGTGGGGGTTTGTGTCCAGAACACTCACATTGCACTGACCAATGAGCGGCTTCTCCTGCCCAGATAAGAGACGGGTGCCTGGAGTTGGGTTTGAGGTTCGAATAACGCGATAGAGTAAACTACACAGAATAGGCAAAAAAAAAAAAAAAAAAAAAAAAAAAAAAAAGATTTGNAAAAAAAAAAAAAAAAAAAAAAAAAAAAAAAAAAAAAAAAAAAAAAAAAAAAAAGAGCTTAGCTCGAAACGAAAAGTGAGGTCATATTGAGATAGAGTAGTTAGGAAGAAATCTGGAACCACAAAAGACAATAGGCTTGCGCGTTGAGTGTGTTTCACAAAATCGGCATTACCTGGACTTACTTTTTCACCGTCGTGATTAATCTACCCGTTTGCCAAATCCGGGGTGTTGGCACTTCGCAATCAGGTATCCGTATAAGTACAATGTCACAGCGCTTAAGAAAGGGGAAACCCAAGAACACCACCCAGCCTCAGTGATGTTACCACAGATCGTGGAACATTTATCATGGAGGAATGGCATAGCAGAAGCCAGTAGAGGTCACAAGCGTCTGCTGGAAAGAGTGCCCGGCTAAGGTACCATTGGATACCCTCCCTAATTAACTACGTAGGTTGGCTGCGGGTGGACGGCACGGGATAGACGCGTGTGCCGAGATCAGAACATAGCGGGCACAACTACACCAATCAACATCCCGACCTCTATCTGTATGTAAGTAGGCACGTCCGGGGGCCGACTGGCCGAAGTGCCTCAGCCCGAGTTGGTTCTACAAACCAAGTTTATACCAACAGAAACTAACAGATATAAAGTTGGGTCGATGCGGCAGGCAGAGAGTCGCGCCAGAACAGCTGCCTCGATGGCTTATGAACTGGGCTGTTGTTTTTGGCCGATAATCAACTGGTAATGGAAGGATCCACCGAACTGTCCTTTTTGCGAACTCCCACTCCATAGGTTGCACGTGTACTACGCAGTACTACTTAAGTCCAGACGCCGGGGAGATGGCAGTGACAGCTGGATTGTTCAATCGTCCTTTGCAAGCAGCCGCCAATGAGTGGTTACTTGGTTGCTTGACTACAGAGGACCCTCATGAGATGAGCAACAATGCAATTGCCGACGTCGAATCGGTGCAAAAGAGCCTTGCCGGCGCCAACCCAGCATTTTTGAGCCAGTGGATGGCGGGACAACGGGAATAACAAGGGTCTTAAATGATTCTACTCTTTTGAGGAGCGGGTGCGTTTGGCCTTCAGACGCTATTCCTGCAAGCTTCGGCGTACGTACATGTATGCAAATTGCTCTGCACGCTGGTTTCTCATCACAGCCATTCGAAGTTCCAATTACCAAAGACAGAGAGGTAGCTGAGGTAAGAAGCAATCCAGGTCTTCGAATAGAGATCAAACGAGATCAAATGAGACAATGGAAACTTACTTGGGAGGTTGGAGTTGAAGAGAGAAGAAAATGCCAGGTGGGGGAAGGAGTAACTACATACTGACGGAAGCATTTAGGCAATAGGAGTTTTATTATGAAGGGGCCTTATCCGCTCCTTCAGGTGCCTTGAGGTAGGTAACACGGTAAGGTAGCTACCGTGCCGTGGTGCCCAATACGTGGGCACCTATCTACCTGCCTACACCTAAGGTAAGGTACCTAGGTAAGGTAGTTAAGGTACTTATCCACTCCGGTACTGGCGCCGGCGCTTGGTTTCCACGGGAATGACCTGCGAATGGATGGAATTCTGCGCTCCTCCGCTGAGGTCGGGTGTCCCGTCCCCAACACTATCCCCTGTTACCAGGCGCCATAGCACGCACAGGACATCACTTCAGGAGTACAATCTCTTCCGTTCCATTCCACTCCTGTCGTCTTCACTCAACACCAGACACGTACCACCGCAACCAACACCTAGCCAGACTCCAACTACAGCCCTCAGGTACTCTCTCCAAGTTCGATTGACTTCTTCATTTGAAGCCTCACCCCATGAACACACTAGAAACATAACCCTTCTCTGTTTATCTGACCGGCCACACATTCCCTCGGGCAGAACATTCAAAGAGAGCATTTCGTCCAACCCCACCCTTTTTCTTTCCGTTGCTACGAATACAGCCTGCCTGTCAGCAATCCTGCGCCCGATATTATCTGCCGAAGCACTCAACCGACATCTCTACCACCATCGTACGTCGCCTTTGTCGCCTAGTCGGTCCGTCGGCCTATCCGTGTATGCCGAACATTCGAATTATGTCGTCGCCACGAAAGCAGCAACCAGATGAGGTCGCGGACAAGGTGCTGAAAAGAGCAGAAGTTAGCAAGGTAAGTAGGCAGCGCTAAGAAAAGGACAAGGGCTACATTTGCTAACACTGAGTTCGCAATACAGATCGCTAGAAGGCTGCAAAATCGGCTTGCTCTTGCCCAATTCAAGACGAAGCATGGCTGGGAGGACCTCACGCTCGACACGATCGAACCGAAATATGAAGAAGAGCTGCGCCGAAAGCGCATGTGCGAAAGCGACGTGCTGTCCGACTCTTCCTCTAGTGCTTCCGATCTGCCATATCCCACCAGGACCCTTATGAGCTCCCCTTTGAAGGCTCCTCTTTTTTCCGACGCCATCGGTTCGAGCAACGGAAGCACCGGCCATCGCAAGCGAACGTACAAGGCTTCTTTCGATTATCCCTCGTCCAGTCCCAGCAAACGCTATCGCTCCTCGCCTACGCCGCAAAAGCCTGTACACGCTCACCTGTCGTGGAAAGAAAGCCACCAGCTTGCACAGTCATCTCCTATCAAACCTAGGCGGCAACAACATTTCACAACATCTACTGGCCCTGATGTGTCTTTCTTCCAGGGAGCTCGAAGGATGGCTGACGAACTCGCCTCACCCAACTTCGCGGCTAACTCGGACGATGAGGATGATATCTTGCCGACACAGTCGTTCAGAACCAATATGCGCTCATCACCGCCTACGACGCCGCCAATGCGCAATCGTCCGATCCCCAATCGTCGCATTAAAGACAGGCCTGCTGGCTCGGGCCCGGCGAAATCGGGCGAGGAGGGCGCCGACCTCCTTCTGTATCTCGCTGCTTCACCATCACCAGCGGTTCCTTCCACAAAGACTAGAATGGAGCCCCCATCTACACCACCCTCTAAGGTTGGCCGCGACATGACACTCCCATCGTCACATATGACCACTCCTGGCGGAGGCAATCTATTCCCTAACACCCCAGGGCAAGGCTTTGACTTTGCCGAGTTCGTCAATATTACACCCAGTCCCGCGCAAAAGGCATGGAAGACGCCTGTTGCCCTGTCATCAGCAAGGACCCCCGTCAGCCTAACAAGGAGGCGGCTCACATTCGACGAGCCCCTTGTGTAATGGAACGGTTAAGAGCCTGCCCATTCCCCATTACCTCTTTTTTTTGGGTCTTTCATTTTTCCCCCCCCTTTTTTGGTTTTTTTCTTTTTTTTTTTTTTTTTGAGAAAAACGAAAACAAAAAAACTTTTTACATGATACCAGGGTGGACGAAACTTCTAAACAGCATTGCGAGATGGAGCTTTGATTGCGACGGCTAGGTCGAGCAACGATAATTGCCAGCAGCAGAACGAGACAAGGCGCTACTAGGCGGGTGTAGTTTGGTCATTTGATGACTGGTCACTGTCGGAAGTCTGCCATCGTCTGCATGACAGACGCAAAGCCCGCCGCTCAGGGAGGTTGATGTTACTATGAGGGGCGGACATGCATAGTGGCTTTGTCGCGGCTTTTCTGTCTTGTTCTTTTAGTCCCCTGAAAATTTCCCCCATACTCCTGCGTGGTTTGGAGCCTGTCGCGATGGGACCTAGGTACTTACGCGCTCTGACGTTTGGTGTGCACGCGACCCACCGCGAATTTGGCGACTGTTTCGCGTCGCGTCGCGTCACCAATTAACTCGAACAGGTATCTTAGCCAATCAGAACGTAGAAGTCACATCCACCATTGTACCAATTCCAGAACTGTAAATGAGTGTGCTCCGATATCCATTGCAGTAGAGATAAGAGACGAGGCGATCACCGTGCAGAATATCAGAGCATCAAGACACCTGATGGAAGCCTGTTTGTGTATGGGCGCTTTGTCGCCCGAAATCTCAAGTGTCTCTGTCTAGGGCAATATAAGCATGCCAAATCATGGCCGTCCTTTTCAACTTTTGCTTGGGCACTGCTTGAGGTTATCCATGAACTGGATGATGCCCTGTTTGACCCCTTCAGGACTGGGTTCCTCGGCACAAACATCTGGCTCGAAGCCGAAAGTTTTTCTCAGGTAGTCTCGTGTTGTCGGCCCAATTGTTGCGATGAATGTTTTTTGCCTTCCTTGGCTCTTGTTGCAAACCTTGCCCGTTGCTTCATCCAACATACCGAGGCCACGCAGCATGCTATCGCAACCTGTCGGGGAGAAAACAACCACCCACCGTGACGAAGCCGCCTCTGTGGCTTGCAGGATGTGGGCAAAGTCTTGCGAGAACGATTCCATGACTCCCGTCCCGTAAATGACAACCTCATCAACTTGAATCCTTTTTTCACTGGCCAAGTTTGGAGCCATGAGTGTCTTCGGGATGATATCCCTTCTTTGTTCACCGACGAGGAAGAGGACGGGCGGCTTGATCGGTCTGTCACGGTGCCATTGGCTGTAATGATCCAGAATGTACTTGGCCAAGGCATCGCCATTGCCGGTGTGCTCTCCGAATACCTGCAATGGCGGATCCTGTGTTATGGCCTTGAGCGCCCGCGTTGTGGCAGGACCAACGCTGTAAACCGGCACTTCATGAAGATGAGGCCAGCCTCCTTCAGTGTCTGAGAACTAGGTTAGTACAGTACTCTGAGAATTACCAATGTTGACTCGCCCTTCTTTTCGTCAACCAATTTGGTGAATGCCTCGACAGCCCGCTGAGAAGTGAAGATAAGGCCGCCGTAGGCGGCACTGGTCTTGGTGCCAATAGCGCGGCGACTCAGCACGTCCCTTATCAGTGTCATTCCTGCGTCTTGAAAACTGTGGTGCAAGACCGGCACGAAAGTCGATTCGAAGTCATAGCCAGAATATTGGCGCGAGAACAGGTCTTCGTAAGAGTCGCCAGGCGTTGACTTGGTTTTGAGCAACAAGACAGGCACTTTAGCTGATGAATTCAACTGGGTCATGCTGGGCGTGTGTTATTGACGTTCGATATGAAAAGATTGGAGGATGCGCGTTCCGTTGGAAGTCAGATGCCCCGGAAATCGCTTGCAAGAAGACACTGCTGAAGCCGCCAGAGAGTGTACATCGTCCAAATACCCTGTGCCCCGCCACGGGTACTGAAATCTGCTACCTATTGGCTGGCTCAAAGTCACCTCACATAGTTTCTTAGGTAAGTACCTCCAGCTACGTACTCTAGCCACCGAGGCGCATCGTTTGATAGGATTCATGATCATCATGAGTGCAAAGCAAGTTTTGGATGTAGATTATGACTCACGCAAGACGCAAAAGCAGGGGATGATGTGCCTAGAGTTGAGTTACAGGTTGTTCGCATGCCCAATTCCGTGAGTGGCTAAATGACGGACGATATCCGGATGCTGCGACGCATTACGAACTAAAGGCACAACAACAACCACACACCAAAAAAAAACAAAAAAAAAAAACCAAAAAAAAAAAGGGGGGGAAGGAAGGAAAGAGGAAGAATGGGAAAAAAATGGCAGCCATGCCACCACTGTCGGCAGACCCCCATTCCCAACAAAGGTCCGCAAACTGTGTGGGAATGCAGCCCATATTTGTCCACCGTCAGTAGCCCCGGGCCGAAAAGACGGCACTCCCTGGTCGAAATCGGGAGACTTTGAGTCGCCTTCGTACGGCGATGGCACTTAAGCACCTCATCTCATCTTGATGGTGGATTGATTGAGCCACAAACGCAAGCAAATCTCGCGAGGGATCAAAGATCCCTTCCTCTGCCTGGTCCGCATCCACCACGAGATATCTCACGGTTCCCATCGAATTTTTAGGTTCGTTCCCCCTCAGATACACGCCCGCTGGCTCACGAGTTCAAGGACCGACTGAACTCGATTGCTGCCAGGTACCTTAGGGGCCGTACCTTGGGGACCTAGCAGCCTTACGCCAGGAGGCTACCGTAGCTTACCTAGCACTGCCTTACCTCAGCGTTCTAGGTTTATCGATAAGATATGGAAGCTCGGAAGATTCTACGACGTCTTGAAAGTGCAGTACTCAGGGAAGTGCGTCGTCGGGTTTCATTTGAAATCACCAACACAAACTAGCAGTCTGTGCCAAATCTTGCCTAATTCGCGCGGCCCGAATCAATTACCCTTGATGCTGCCTCTCCGCGCTCAAGCTTCACCTCATAGTATTTTCACGTTTGTTCCCACAAAACAGACCGAAACCCAGCAGTTTGATCATGACCGACACAGAGCGAGATAGCAACCCCGGTGGCCTAGCTCCCGCCCATGTGACCACCGAGGCGCCGAAACCGCTGCCCAAGGGAGTTGTTTTGGGCAAAGATGGAAAGCCGTGAGTTCTTGTGCCATAATTAATAATTCTCCCCTTGCGCCTAATGCCCCAATGGATCATTCGCACAAAGTCTCCTGCTAACGAAAGTCCGGCTTAGCTGTCGATCTTGCTCTTCCAAAAGCGCATTCTCAAGCTGGGCCGCCCAAGCTAATGCCTCCTTGAAGAAGGATGCCCCAAGGATTTCATCGCCCGTCAATGATTGCCCTCCCGATGTGGAAGCCCTCGGTCGCGGGACTTGGGCGTTGCTTCATTCCATAGCGGCGACATACCCTGAGAAGCCCTCATCAACGCAGAAGGAGGACTTGCGTGGCTTCATGCGGCTGTTTTCCAGGTTGTACCCATGCTGGGTGTGTGCTGAAGATTTCCAGTCATATATGCAGAAGGAACAGGTGCGCGTTGAGGGCCGTAGTGAATTTGGCAACTGGCTGTGTGAGGCACACAACGAGGTGAATCGCAAGCTGGGAAAGAAAGAATTCGACTGCAGCAGGTGGGAAGAACGTTGGCGAACGGGCTGGAAAGATGGCCGTTGTGACTAAGACTTGGCAATGGAACTTAGAGCCGTAAGTGACGTTAACCACTGCGGGACGCGACACAGTGCACACGATAGACACAGATAAACATTTGTACCAATATGAAAATACCACTCAATCGGCATTAGCGAATGGGTATCATCTCGGGGACGGTGCGAGGGCATGATCCCAAAAGGCAGACCAGAGAGCAGGAACACTCCGAAGGAAAGTGAAGGGAAAACGCCCATACCAATTCGGATGTCCCGGGATGCCGGAGCAAGGCAACACTGTGAATGCGGCGTTCCAGCGGCTCCCCGAAAGCGCAACGCCATCGCCATCGCCGGGTACCGCCGGACGGCAGGTTTGAGCATGTATGTGCGGTGGTGAGCTGGATACGCAGAGACTTAGTCTAGGAATGCGATAACATGGGCCCGGCCTGCCCAGATCGGCCGTAGCAAGGCCGAACCCTGGTTTTCAAGAATCAGATCATGTCAAACTTGAAGAAGCCCTTCTAGTCGATTTGATAGCGTGGCGGTCAGTCTGCACTCACGCACTGCATTAGACGCGGCAGGGTCATGGGCGAGATTTGCCTTGGCCCGGCCTGTCATTGGGGTCGGGGCCGCAGAGGCGCATCAAACCACAGCTGTTCCCTGCCTGACAGCTCACTTTAAAAAAAACGCAGCTTCGGCGCCGGGACCCCCTACCTACCTATGACTTTACCTCCTTACCTACCTTCGGTAGGTTCCCGTCCTTCCATCCCCTCAAGGTACCAGGTAATTAGGTGCCTTACATAGGACAGTTATTGACAGGCGACTACGTGGATGGGACCTCCACCTCCGGTCATTGCTGGTGGCATCATCAACGGCGTCGTCCTACCTAGTTTGCAAGTCAGAAGCGTCCCAGGGCTTCGTGTTGAGTTTTTTTTTTTGGAGGTTTTTTTTTCTCCCTCGGCGGCCGCTGATTTTGTCGGCCAAAATAGCTTGCGTCTCGTTCACCGGCAGCAAGGACAGGGCGGGCAACAAGAGTCAGGTCTAGAATGGCAGGGTATGGAAGGCATTCTTACAAGTCCGACTCGGCCCCGGCCCCCGACCACCCTTGTCCGGCACCAGCCCGGTGTAATGGTGACCGCATTCTGTTGTGGCGTGTTGTATTACATCAGTATATTCTGCAACTGATGGGTTCCGCTTCCGTCATCTGTCGCTGGACCCTTCGAAGCTCCGTGCTAGGCTTGTTGCAAGGTACCTCGATTGTTACTCGATCTTCCAACTTCCACGCCAGTCCCATACCACGCCCTCCTATCCGAAGCCCGCCAGATACCGACACCGGCTAGCCCATCGCCTCCATCTTTGTCACTGTTGACTTATTCTCTCTGTATCTTTGCCCTATCTTGCAGTACACGAACATGCAGCTTCTTGGGTTTCCGCACATCGCCGATGATCTGCCCGTTTCATGAGGAAATTCTTAGTGGCCTGACTTGACCCTGGTCGCTCACTCCATGTGTTGAGCGAGCCTGCCGAAAGCGATGTCGCATGCCGAGATGCGGCTACCGCGTTCCTCTTGATATAAACCTCATGGCCTCTGTCAAAGTAAACCCCTTTCCTTTCCTCCATATCCCAGAGACCTAAGAACAAGCTCAGCTTGATCATTTGCAGAGCTGCTCCGAAGACCAACTCTACCACAAACAACCAGATTCGCCCACTATACCACTTTTTCTATCTATAGTACGACGTCCCTTTCGAGGTGATCCCGTCATGGCCGATATTCGAACTCAGGCGCTCAAAGAGCCCATTGATGTCGCCGAATACCTTTTTAAGAGACTTCACCAAGTCGGCGTCCGCTCAGTCCACGGCCTTCCTGGAGACTACAACCTTGTTGCTCTCGACTACCTCCCTGGGTCTGGCCTGACCTGGGTCGGCAGTGTTAACGAACTCAATGCTGGTAAACGGCATCGCCACAAACCCATACTTATGCGCTTCACTAACACCTGCAAGGTTATGCGGCAGATGGCTATGCCCGCGTCAAGGGAATCTCTGCCATCATCACCACCTTCGGCGTCGGTGAATTATCAGCCATTAATGCCCTCGCCGGCGCATACTCCGAGCATGTCCCCGTCGTCCACATCGTCGGATGCCCCTCCACCATCTCACAGAGAAATGGAATGCTTCTGCACCACACTCTAGGCAATGGAGACTTCAACGTCTTTGCGAACATGAGCTCACAAATCTCTTGTGATGTCGCCAAGCTCAACAACCCCGCCGAGATCGCCAACCAGATTGATCATGCTCTCAAGGAATGCTGGATTCGCAGTCGTCCAGTATACGTCATGCTGCCTACCGACATGGTCCAAAAGAAGGTTGAGGGCGAAAGACTGAGAACACCTATTGACCTCAGCGAGATCCCTAATGACCCCGCGAAGGAGGACTACGTCGTCGAAGTTGTCTTGAAGTCACTACACGCGGCCAAGAAACCGGTCATGCTCATTGATGCCTGCGCCATTCGGCACCGTGTACTCCCCGAGGTCCATGACCTTTTGGAGAAGGCCAAAGTGCCTGTTTTTGTCACTCCGATGGGCAAGGGCGCTGTCAACGAGACACATCCCAACTACGGCGGTGTTTACGCCGGAGATGCCTCACAGCCCGACGTCAAGGAGAGAGTGGAATCTTCTGACTTGATACTTTCCATTGGCGGTCTCAAGGTAAGCACGAGGGGTACGGAACGGCTTCCTTTCGGGACAACTCGCTGATCCCGCCACAGAGTGATTTCAATACGGCCGGCTTCTCTTATCGGACATCACAGCTCAACACCATCAATTTCCACAGCACGCACACAACAGTTCGCTATTCAGAGTATCCTGGCGTCACCATGCGCGGTGTCTTGCGCAAGGTGATCAACAACCTCGACCCTGAAAAGCTCAGCATTGTACCTTCGCCGGATGTTTCTAACAATTTGCCCATCGACGACAACGATCCATCCCAGACCATCACTCAAAAGTACCTATGGCCGAGAGTTGGCCGCTACCTCCGCGACAACGACATCGTGGTTACCGAAACTGGCACCGCCAACTTCGGTATTTGGGACACCAAATTCCCGGCTGGCGTCACAGCTTTGAGCCAGGTCCTTTGGGGTAGTATTGGCTGGTCTGTTGGTGCTGCGCAGGGTGCTGCGCTGGCCGTCAAAGACGCCGGCGAAGACAGGAGGACGATCTTGTTTGTCGGCGATGGATCATTTCAGCTCACGGCGCAAGAGATAACAACAATGTTGCGCCATGGCCTGAACCCGACAATGTAAGTTGTAACCGCGGGCCCTCCAAGATTCCTTGATACATGACTCATTAACAAATTGCGGTTAGCTTCGTCATTTGCAATGACGGTTTCACTATTGAGCGGTTCATCCACGGCATGGAGGCCGAATACAACGATATAGTCCAGTGGCAATACAAGGAGTTGGTTACTGTATTCGGTGGAACCGAGCAGACGGCCAAGAAGTTCGTCGTCAAGACCAAGGACGAGTTGGAGAAGCTCCTGACCGATGAGAATTTCAACAACCCCACGACGCTGCAGTTTGTGGAGCTCTACGTCCCCAAGGAGGATGCTCCAAGAGCTCTTATCATGACAGCAGAGGCCAGCGCCAAGAACAACGCAAAGGTCGAGTGAAAGGTGTAGCTTGGCGGGCTAACGGACGCGCACGATTCCGGGGGAGGGTGCTTCATTTTGGCAGAATTCGGATGGTGCAGGAACATGAATTAGCACACATAAAGGTAGACGGCGCAAAACTGGTTACTAGTTAGAGTAGATGTAGAGCTCCAACGCATGTGTTATTAAGCAGCAGCTCGGAGTATACGTCTGATTTACGGTCTGATTCATTATTTTGACGTGCCGCAGGGAGATCATTGACATCCCCTTATCGTCCGATTTCGTCGTCCCGTCGTCCGTCCTTCCTCGATGCGTTGATACGATGGCTGATCGGGCGGGGATGGCTGATGTATGTGCGACCAATTGCATGAGGATTCCCGACCGGCCAGCCTGTGAGTAATAAGGTAAGGTAGGTGCTGATAAGTGGGTCATACCGTCTGACTTCTTTTCTGGCCGCGGCACCTTCCTAAATTCTCATCCAACCACACAGCAAAGTAGACTGCGTTTGGCCACCAAGCAAGCAGCCACGCCCCCACGGACCAACATTCGAGGACTCATACTTCGACGTCGTCTCACCAATAGCTGTCATGACCTCCGACGCAACGAAAAGAAAGCAACCCAGCTCCGGCTGTGAAAAGTCCCATCCTTCGAAACGAAGCAAGGCAAGTTGCAACTCGCGAGAGCAAAAAACACCCCCGCCGTGCCGACCTGAATATGAACAGGCTCTGCCATCCGTTGGTAACGAAGTTCTGACTGACAAATGGTAGGGCGGTCGCGGCACGGGAGCATGGCAAACTCCTCACCAAAAGGCCAAGGTCGCCAATCTCCAGGACAGAGACGCTTCCCTGGAAGTGGGTGATCAGGGTGTATGGGTTACTTTCGCTCGAGGGATGGACAGTAAAGCCATCCGTGAGTTCAACTTCATTTGTGACGAGTATGGCAAAACCATATATGGACTTGTTCCACCCGGCGAGGACATCGAGCCTGGTGACGAGGACGAGGACATTGAGGCATCCATCAAAAAAGAGCTTGTCAGCATGAGCTCTGTCAACCAGAAAAATTCCAAGCGGAACTTCAAGGCTATCCGCGCTGGTATTGAGTGTGTCTTCTTCATGAAAACACGAGACCCCATTGAACCAGTTGAGCTGTGTCGTCGCATCTGCCGAGATGCTGGCGCTTGTCCAGATTTGAAAGAGCGCAAGACCAAATACATCAATAGGTTGACACCTGTGAGTGCTCTGGACAAGGCCTCGGAGAATGGTGTAGTAAGGACGGCACGAAAGGCTCTCGCGTCTTGGTTCAATTTGACAGCGAGCGAGACAGCCGTAGAGGATGGAGTGGGAGTCAAGAACGATGTGGCGGGAGCGGATGGAAACGAGACCGGGCCAGAAATCAAGTTGGATGCGAAGCACGCGTACACGGTCAGTTTTGCGCCCAGCCTGATAGATGACTTGACTCATTGATGGACAGTATGCAATCCGGCCCTCCATACGTAGCAACAGCTCCATCGAGCGTGACGACCTTATCAAGCAAATAGCCAGTACCATCGACCAGAGACACAAAGTCAATCTCAGCAACCCCGATAAGGTGATACTTGTTGATATCTTTCAGGTGAGAGTAATGACCAGAGATTGAGCTACGCAGGCTGGACTGACACCGTTCATAGAGCTACTGCGGCATGAGCGTAATCAACGGCAGTGACTGGGATGGGCTCAAAAAGCTCAACGTTAACGAGATGTACAAAGCGTCGCCGGGTGCAAAGGGTGCAAAGCCCAAGTCATCACCTATCGAGACAGAGAAAACACCCGAGGAAGGCATCATGGGCGAGGCAGCATGAAATAGCTGGTGGAGCAGCAGGCCGGAGAGGAGGAGGGGGGCATTTACAGCCGCTTCAGGGCAAAAGTAAGGGTCCTATCCGTACTTGTAATGGTTTTACCCCTCAGCTCCTGTGTACAGGATGTGCTGGGGCAGGCTGCGAGTAATTAAGGCATCGGACTTAGCCGAAGATGTGGAATGCAGCAACTTGGCGAGATGGGTGGTACGAAATGCGGGCATCTCACTCGCCGCCCTCACGCCAGGACCTGCGGCGGCACCCGTCGGTGCACCCGACCTTTGGGTCCCCTCGTTTTGGAAGGTTCGAAGCTTCAATCCTGTCGTACTGGCTTGTCGTCTTCATGTACTGAGAAGGACACCGGTGGGTGGCACGTTGTGTAAGGAGGGATGTTTCTGACGAACGGACCCTAGGATGAGATTACTAGAGTTGGGGTGTGCGGCTTAGTGGAGGCCCCATCCATCGCGGCGCTAAGCCCTATTGCGATAAATTTGACGAGTCTCCAGAGTCAGCAGCTCCCAAAGTTCTGAGGAGCTTCTACGCAGCCAAGCAAGGGACGGGGGCGGATCGGCTTAAAGGCCGGGATTGGGCCGTAACACGGTATAGGACGCTTCTCTTTGACGAGGAGAGCTAGCCACGCCTAAACTGTCAACATGTAATACGTCGTCTACCTCATACTGGTGTCCTTAAACTTAGCTCTGCTGCAGTGCATCAAGTCCCAACCATGTTCGAAGACAATGGGACAAGATGGACGAACCCTGGCAAACGAACAATTATAACCATTCCAAAACAGCTGGTCAAGGAGAAAGAATGAGGGAAGAACCCGACGGCTGACGAATTCAGGCTCCTGGAAGACGACGCCAGAGTCAGACCCGTGAGCGGAATCCGAACACCCCATCCGGCTCGCTTGACAAGTGTCCAATCACCAGATTCCCGGCTCGCTTCTCGATGCACAGACTAACCAGGATCTGGGGTTATAGTGGGTCTTATTGGGATTCCAGGCGGGGCGGAGAGGTCCCTTCTTCGCCAAAATCCATCTCATTGACCACTCGTCTGCGTTCTGATATCCCATCATGTTAGTCTTCAACTTCGCCTGACGACATCAACAGAGCTTTGGGGGGGTTTCCCGTCTCGCTGTTTGATCCGTCTTACTAGCTTGGTCTCCTCCCCTTGCCCTCACCTCTCAGCGACATGGCACCGTTCCCCGCTGCCATGCGTTTTCGCTTGGGTTGACCCAAAGTAGCACCCGAGGGCAGCTATATTCTATATTTTTGGTGATTCGTACATGACTTTCTCGCCTGCTGGCTATTCCCTGCCAAGAAAGAGAGCCATTTCGATCCGCTTCCTTTCGCCTGGGTTAGAAACTGGATGCCCGCCTACACAGTTTGCTTGGGTCCAGGGCATCCTCAGCGTCTCTCTCGCTTATCCGCAGTTCTTTTGGGTGCTGATTGAACGCCTCATGGCCCTAATGTCTGTCCTTGCGTAACGCCTCACCCTTCACCGGGACAGTCCACTTACCCTACGAGGCTAGGTGATCATTGCTGCTCGCCTGTCCCAGCTCCTCATTAGTTGAAATGGGCACCGTGGAGGCATTTGTGCCCTCCTCAATAGACTTATGGCTCCTTGACCACGCTTCAAGCACCATACAACGTACATTTCTTTTCGTGATCCTTGTAGGCGCATGCCTCACTTGACTGGAAAAAGCTGTCGGTCCGCTGGGTTCGCTCAGAGCCTTAACGACACGCCCCCAAGAAATACCATTCCGAGCAGCTGTTTCCGCCACATTCATTCTGTAACCCAGTTGTCACTTTATTCCTCATCAAGTTGTCACTCCCCATCTTCGCGAGGGTTCTTCAACCACTTCCACTCCGGGCAGTTTTCGTGCACTCTCTTCCACAGTTCTCACTTTCACAATTCTCGATTTGCGACCTGCCAGGACTGCTGACCGCTTATACACCCTGTCCCGCCATTTGCTTCGCAATCCCTCGCTAGTTTTCCGTCAAGGTGTTCACTCATCATCTTCCCACTCTACTCCGGTAGACGTGCTGCGCCTACTTCTCTACATCCTCCTCGCCTGGAAGCCGATGTGATTGGCAGTCTCTCTATTTGCAGTTTTCCAAAGCCACCAACTCTTGGGTTCGCGGGTGCCCCATCTCCGACCCAGTGCCAGTCTGCATAACACGTCGTGACCCCTGCCTCATCGTCTACACACTGGGGTTTGACAGCTTGCTATATCTAGGTCAATGTACCCACCCCCATCCACATGTTTCCGACACGGTATCACCAAAGCTACAACTCACCCTCACCCTGCATACGACTCACCCTTCAGATCATTCTCAGGGGGTGTCGCAAACCTGCAGTCTCCCGTCTGCCACCCGTAGGGCAGATTCGGTCCCAGCTTTCGGCATGAGCGGCGATCCGCCAGCGACAAAGCCCATGCAAGCCGTTATAAGCCATCTGGTGCCCCAGGCCACAGTACAACAGGTCCAGCCTGTGTCTTCGGTCCATTGCCAGCGCGCTTATGGAGTCAAGATCTCTGACGGAACGAGTCTTGTCCTCGTCGCCCCTCCGCCGCCGATGGTCAAGCTCCTTCGATCGGAGCGAGCCTCCGTCGTATCGGAGGCGGCCGTCTTGAGTTGGCTTGCAAGCAAGACTACTGCAAAGCCCCTCCTACAGGAACGAACCCCAGAACCCGAAGACATTCTCGACGCTGGAAAGATTGGAACCAGAGGTTTGAGGGACTTAAGGAGCACTGCCAACGGCGCAGAAGATCTGCACATCTTCCTTCCGAGGCTCATGGCCCATACAAATGCACCTAGCGAAGAAGGCCGCGAGTTCAACCTCTTACGACCCACGATGGGTGTTCCGATTCCCGAACTCAGCCCGCCCCTTTCTTCGCCCGAAAGAAGATCGGTTGATTTTCAAACAGGCCAATTTTACAGGAAACTTTGCAGATTGGTCTCACCGACAGGCCGCTTCGGTCCTGCTTTCGCTGTCCTCCCACCTGCGACACCTATACCACCGCCTGACTCCGCGGAATCGATCAGAAGAGATTTAAATGCCAGACTGATGGAGTCGCGGGGGGTTCAGTCTTGGTCAACAGCGTTCCACTCCATGCTAGAAGCCGTCTTACGCGATGGTGAAGATATGCAGGTCATGCTAGGGTATGGTTCCATCCGCCAGCATTTCAAACAGTTCCAGTACACACTGGAGAGTGTCAAGACACCACGTTTGGTTGCGGTAGACGCCGGCAAGGACCTCAATACTTTGGTCATGAGGAGAAAGTGTCGGAAGGGTCCTCCGTCAATAGCAAGCAGCCACCACCTTGAACTGCGAAGCGAATCCCGGGTGGTTGACGACAGCGAGAGTGAAACCGAGGACGATGACAGCAGCAGTGAGTTGGAGCTGGGTGGAGACGACCGAGCGACGCCGTATCATCAGAGCAACATCATTATGACCGGTATGAAGGACTGGAGCAATTTTGTCTTTGGAGACCCTTTGTTTGCCGTCGACTTTTGCCATGGCCCTAGCAGCGATTTCTTGTCAGGTTTCAACGATGTTTCGCCAGACCAAGTCACTACCGCCATGTCTGCATTCTCTTCGGACATGATCGAAGACAAGGCCACCGCCCATATCCGCATTCTCCTGTATGAATGTTACCACACAATCACGCACATTGCCAGGGAGTTCTTTCGGCCGCGCAGGGACAGCAGTGGGCGTGAACTGGAAGCGCGAAAGAAGTTGAACCACATCTTGGCCCAATTGGACACGCTTAGCGATGCGGGTAACCAGAGGGGAAGTAGACCAAGTGGGGAGTCGAGCCCAGCAAAGCGCTCCAAAAGCTGCGAAAAAAGATGATTAGGGAGGGTGTCAATGACATAGCGAACCAGCCGTCTCTATTCGGCCGTGGTTGTTGTACATACCAGCATGACGCGTGATACAGAACTAGATGCTGTCGCGCGGCGGCGCAGAAAACGACACAGGAAACTAGGCTGTGCTCTTATCCCGACAAGTTTTGACCCGATTGTCTACCGTTTTCACTTTTTGCCTTTGGTGTCTCCGTCGACCTCGTCGCGCGGGAGCTGCATCCCCATCATGCCCAGGATGTTGCCAGCCGGACCTGGCAAGCCTGCCTGACCCTTGAAGCTCTCCAGCAGATTCTTGGCTAGGTTGTAGTCAATATCGATTGCCTCATCCCCAGCTTCCTTGTTGTCTTCATCGTCACTGCCATTGTGTTTAACAGCGGTATCAAGACCGTTCGCATTAACTGGATGGCTGTCTTTGCCTTTGACCGCCGGCGCTTTGCTGTTGTCAGAGACCTCTAGTCTGAGGGCCCCGTGCTCGGTAAGTTCGGCTTCCAACTGTGCTGCAAGCTCCCGCAGATCTTCGTCGCTGGGATCCTCAGGGAAACCTTCTCTAGACTTTCGCGTCCCTCCTGGCGGACTAGCTTTACCTTGGTTGTTTGGAGCTAGTCCCATCATTTCCCTCATCATTCGAGAAAACTCAGCCTCGTCAAAGCTGACTGCCTTGTCTTCCTCATCGCTACCGTCCTCGCTATCGTCGTCGATGTTACTATTGTCGTCGTCATCGTCAATGTCCATGTCTTCGGTCTCGGCCCCTTCAAGACCTGCCCTCTCGTCGTTTAGAAAGGCCTCGAATCGTGACACGATCTTGCGCAGGTCGGCCTGTGTTGATGGGTCTCCAAAACCAGTACGGCCTTTTCCACTTTCACGGCGTCCTTGCAGTTCCTTTTCAAAGTCCTCGTAATTGACGTCTAGCCAAGATTCATCGTCTTCTCTCTGTGAGTCTTTCCAATTTTGGATATCGTAATCAGTCGGAAGGACTGATTCCCCATCCTCTTCGAGATCTGCTACAACGATACTGGCCTCTCTGGCTTCGCGGCTTTTTGTGGTGTTGATGTTATTCATCATGATCTCGAATCCGCTGGTAAGCTTCATCCCCATTTCGACACAACTCAACTCATTGCCTTGTGCTTTTTCAACCACATCTGACCATGGTGCAGGCGGTTCAAACCGTTGAGATCGAAGTTGGGCAAACAAGACTTTGGTCAACTTTACGCTCAAGGTAACCATGTCGTGAGGAGGAAAGCGAAGATTTTCTGCCTTGGACATAAGGGCTCTCAAATCCAACGCATCACGTAGATAGAATGACTCCACGGCCGGGGCAACAGCTCTAGGAGTCTGATGAAGAACATGCGCCAGTCTCCGAGGGATCCTTACTAGAGAGTGATGTACCGACTTCCAAATCTGGCCGGGGTATTTTTCTAGCCGATAGAACGCCTCCGCCTCGATGAACTCCGAATGCATAAGATCTTTGGAGTCTTTTCTGATAGTCTTCACAGCTTCTGCCAAAGTGAGTGGCTGTGAATCCGACACCGGCGAACTCTGGCCAAGAGGGATGATGCAAAGCCGGCCATTGTTAATCCAAACTCGATGTTGGTCGTTCTCGGGACTCAGCCACTTTGGTAGTACATTTGCCGCCTCTACCAAAAGGAACTCGCCGTCGCTGTCAGAGATGCGAATCCATACCGCCGAGTCGGACTTGGATAGCTCCCTGAGGATGTAGACCATCAGCCATTCATCTTCAACGGAGTCGCCATAATCCGATACTCCTCGCAGAAAAGCAAGTCCTTATTTGGCTGGTTAGATTTTGACTACGTAATACTCTCTCTCTCTCTTTCCGTCTCTTTTATTCTTTCATCTTTGAGGGTATGGACAAACCTTGCTCGGTAGTGACCTCGAGATTTAATGAATCTCTTTGCCATATGTAGTCACCAGCCAAGTTGGTGCCTAGCAGAAGGGCTGTTTTGCGCAACTTCTCTAGTCGCGAGAGTTGCTCCCGCGAGTCTCCTTGGGCTTCCGAATCGATCAAAAAGATGCAATACTCGACGTGATTTTCCGACAGTCGATATTGAGTGGCGCCAAGACCGAGTAGTTCATCCTGAGCATGTGCAGCCATGATGATCAGTAGTCGATCTTTGAAGTTGTCACTAGGTCGTTGAGATGAGTTGGGTTAGGTGAGTTAAGGTAATCACCATGAAGGTGGGGTGGATTCTGAGCTGCCCTCTCACACAGATGCACTAAACGAGGGCAACTTCACGCCGCCTTACTGCAGGGACTTTGGCTTCCATTTCAGAGGGCCCGTAGGGGCAAGGCAGCTTGTTTCTCCGAGGGCCTCCACTTTTCTCTCCCCGGTCTTTTCTCCATCTCCAATGAGAGCCAAGTGCACTTCCTTACGATACGGTCCCTGAATGATTGTACTGCCTCTACTTCCCCACCACCCCACGATTTGCCGTTTTGGACCAGAAGCTCAAGAAATTGTTAGTGAGAACCCCAGGCTCAACCCATGAACAGTGCTAGGGCAAAGTCACACGCTAACAATCATTCAGGGGGTGTATTGTACAGGACACCCCACCAGGCCTTCAACGCGATCGCGTCCCCCTGTATGTCCTCGGCGCGCGTCGACCCAAAGCCCGAAACTATTCACGTCCTTCCACCATCACGATATCAATCATCATCGTCAGCCAGCTGCGTCCGCACCAGACTTGTCATACCGCCCTCAGAGGCAAGTGTGGCCCAGCCCTACTCCAGTATGGCTCCTCCCAAAAGATCTCGTGCCGCTGTAGAAGCGGAGGAAGTGTTGGATGTTCGGCGGGCACGATCCTATCTTAGCCAAGACGCGTCTGTTAGCCAGCCCCAAATATCTCGAGCATTTTCGCAGCGCGGCTAATTTCTCACTTTCGACCAGTCCAAAAGAGTCCGACTATCCTACTCTACCCACGAAAAACGAGAAGACGAAAGCTCCAGCTCGGATAGCGAGGCTACTGGCAACCAAGACGAAGACGAAGACGACAATGGACGAGGCAGACAAGATTCGCCTCCTCGCACTCAGTACGAAATTGCCCGCGACGATGGATTTAGGCATTTGCAATATGAAGACCAGGACGATCAGCGCGCCACACAGAAAATTAAGAGCCGCCCACAACGAATCGGCGAGAACCACGCCGCCGAGAACGGCATCATAGAAAGTGTCGAGTGTTTCAATTTCATGTGCCACGAGCGCCTCTTTGTTGAGCTGGGGCCATTGATCAACTTCATCGTTGGAGAGAATGGAAGCGGAAAAAGTGCCGTGCTGACGGCTCTTACTCTCTGCCTCGGTGGCAAAGCAAGTTCAACAAATAGAGGCGGAAGCCTGAAAAGCTTCATCAAGGAAGGCCGAGACAACTCTATCATCATCGTCAGAATCAAGAACCAGGGTGTCGATGCCTATCAGCCAGAAGTATACGGCGAAACCATCAGAGTCGAGCGTCACTTTTCCCGGGCTGGCTCCAGCGGCTTCAAGCTCAAGAGCGTAGCGGGCAAGACGATATCTACGAAGAAGGCCGATGTTGACGAAATTTCCGAATACTGGGCCTTTCAAGTCGACAACCCGCTTAATGTTCTTTCACAGGACAATGCGCGTCAGTTTTTGAACTCTTCATCCGCTTCTATGAAGTACAAGTTTTTTGTCCGTGGTGTCCAACTCGAACAACTCGACAATGACTACAAGCTACTGACAGAGATCCTTGAAAGCCATGAGGCCAAACTTCCAAGCCTGGAGGAACACGTCCGTCGCTCTGAGCGTGAATTCTCAGAGGCGCGCAAGCTGAGAGACATAGCCCAGAGGAACGAGGAGATGAGGAGGGAGTATCGTCGTCTTCGAAATCAGCTCTATTGGTCTCAGGTGGCAGAGCAGGAGGATCTCCTTCAACAATGTGACGATCAAATTGCCTCGCTGGACGAAGTCATCAATGGCTCTGAGTCATCGATTGAGCAAAAATCACAAGCCTTGTCTCAGTGCGATGAGCTGCTGGCGCGTGCTCAGGCAGCACTTCAAGAGAAACAGATGGAGGCTACCACGATTAACGAAGATGTCGCCGCTGCCAGAGCGGAGTTTGATGAGGCCAAGGCTCAAGTCACAGACATACATCGTCAGCTGAGAGATGTGCAGCAGCGTCACAGCAATGCAAAGGCATGGGTAAAGGACTCCGAACAGAAGATCCAAGCAGAAGAACAGCGACTGGATGCTGGCGCCGGCAGTGCCCGACAAGAACTCGAAGCACGGCTGAACGACGCCAAGTCGGATGAATCCAGCACCAGGGAGAAAATGGATCAGGGTGCCAACGCCATGCCTGAGCTTCGTGATGCGCTCAAAGCAGCTCAGTCTACCGAGAACGCGGGCAGACTAGACATAAATAAGAAGAGAGAAGAAATATCGTCAGCTGAATCGCGCCTACAGACCCTTCAGCGAAACGGAGGATCGGCATATGCTGCCTTTGATAGAAGCATTCCTGCTCTTATTCAAGCCATCGAACAAGACAGTGGCTTCGAAGAGAAGCCCGTTGGTCCGATCGGAGCTCACATTCAGCTCCTCAAGGCTGAGTGGGGGAGTATCCTAGATGCAACCCTAGGTGCGACGCTGGATAGTTTCCTTGTGGCAAACAAGAGAGACCAGCAACGGCTGGCAAGGTTGATGCAGCGCTTCACTTGGGGCCGCACCCCGCCGATCATCATTGGCAAGCGTTTGCCGCCCAATATGAACCTGAGAGAACCTGACGAAAGATTCGACACAGTTCTCCGCGTTCTCCGGTTCGACAATGACTGGGTCCGCAGCCAGCTTATCGTGGCCCATTCTATTGACAGGATCATTCTTGTAAAGGAGAGGAAAAAAGCCGAGGATGTCATGCTTAACCACTCACCGCCGCCAAATGTGCAGGTGTGTCTTGCGTTCCATGACGGTGCCAGCAAACGCGGTCACGGACTCCGAATCCAGGCCAAAGAGACGGGCGCGAATACATC